TTTCAGCACATAGACAGAATGCATAAAAGAGTAAAATATGTTATTATATACTCTTTATAAAGTCCAAGAGGTGACTCCGTCTTTTCACAAAACGTCCTGAGATTACATGATCATACCTGGCCATTTTAGACCTGGTACTGTTGAACAACAATGACTCATCAGAGCATTATACTGACCTTGCATAGAGCTTGAAGGTTAGTGAGAGGAGACTAAAATAACACATAAATCGATACCCTCCCAGATGGTCTGTGTGAGCAGACACTAGTGTAAAGGGATATGTGAGCTGTGTTTGGATGGATGCATGGGAGGGGATTGGGTCATACAATACATGTGCACACGTGACAGACTTGAACTCAGCATCCCCCCTAGGACACCCCAAACTTGGTAGCTTCCACTTTACCCAAACAGGCTACATATAATGATGCATTTGTGAGGGGCCTAGCAAAACAAACATCTTCTACGATAATTACTCCTTTTTTTTTTTGCTTTCAGAGACAGTGTTATATATCAAGTGTAGCTTTTATGCGTGCATAAAAGATATTTTTCTATGCCCAGTAGTGGTAAGGGTCGTTTTTCCTGTCTTTGCCGGTTTAGACGTCAATAGCTGGGAAATGGTTCATTCAACAGGCAATAGGAAGGGAGATTTTGGGAGATATTCTGAGCAAGGGATGTACTTACAATAAACAGGAAGTCATGTGAAACAGGCCCTATGCATCATACTGAAAAAGAGATATGAGAATACATTTTGCAATCACACTGCAATAACATTAAGCATTATCCCAAAAATAAAAATAATCTTCTTCATAACGTTGAAGTTTGTATATGTTGCGGATTGCTGTATGCTTTTAGGGTTTAAATAAGGAAATGAACATATTCTTCAAAATTCAACATAAACAATATCTTGACACTGGATTTAAGCTGCTGTATGAACAATGTGTTCCCAGCCGAAATGTTTTTTTAACCTTCAAATTGCGTTCACCAGCACAGAATTAAAAATACAGACAATGGCGCCATCTGGTGGTTGCAATTACCTAAAACAACATGCGATATATATGGCAAAAAAGGAACGTGAGTTGCGCTTGCTTCGGTTCATTTAGCAGTTTTCAAAACCATCGCACGCTTGCTAAATCTAAAACATTTTATGACGGAAATGGGAATGCATTTTTTATTTCGAAACAGTCCAAACCAAAGCAGATAAATTAAATAAACTGGTGGTCAAATGGATTAAATAAAATTATTTATTTGTGTATTTATTTAATTATTATTTTTTTTGCAGGTTTCGTCCTCCATACAAGTGTAGCACGGTCCAGCAACCATACATGAGCAATGCATGAGCTCAAAAGAAAGATCTGCTGCAGAAAACATCAAGTTTGCTAACCGTCTTTCATGCTAGTTCATTGCTTTAAACATGTCATGGTGTTTCTCAAAGAAAATGATTCTAACAAAGAGTTTGTCATCATTTTTGATGCTCACTTTAATACACTTTTGTTCACATTGAACATCAAAACAATATGACCACACCGACATGATCAGTTTATCACATATATTTTTAGTTAAGATCAAAGCAGGTGTAAAAGCTGGAAAAACATCATCAGTGTACATCAGCATTTCTACCACATCCAACTTTTATGACTATACTTCAGTGATTTTAGGTCATGAAATGTTAACTTTGCACATTATGTTCAATACAAACCACATAAGCACATTATCAGTGGTGCAGTCCATCATAAATACAGCACATACTGCAATATATCAAACATGAACAAGACAAAAATAAACTGTATAGTTCAGTTATTTATATACATTCATTAGACCTTATTTACGAAACAGACAGAGCTTTGTGCACCAATGTATGTGAGAATGGTTTTACAAAATTCATTACAATTATTTCTGTCACTCAGTGAAGCAGCACACTATGTAAAATCATTTAGACTCACTTCCTGACATTGATTCATCTCACAGCACACGTTTAAAATATGCCTATATGTTTGTTGGCTCAGATGTATTATTACAGTAAGATTTATATTCAATTAAACTTTTGAAGTCAATCTCCCTTACAAAAAAATCTAACTGAAATACACTTTCCCAGTGCTGGATATGTTTAAAATGCACAGAATGCACATTTTCTGTGCATGTACAAAGATAAACAGCTGTCAAAATGTGCAGGACACACTTGACTTTGATTTGACAGTCCAATTCTATTGAAATGAATGAATCCGATTTTAGCATCATTTTAGCATTATCTGACATACTTTAACCATTTTTTGTAAACAAAACTGAATCAAATGTGCCAAATGTATTTTCCTAGCTAATCATGCAACATGATGAGGTCATGAATCTGTAGTGTAGCATGCTATGTTTTCATGTTTTAAATGTTTGTCGTTGCATAATGTGTAATATGTTGTGTTCTATTTAAAGAGGCATAGAAGGCAGTATGCAGTATATACTAGGCAGCATGCATTGAGTAGCATGCTAGACTACACTGAAAACACTCAAAGTTCTCCACTTGGAGGCAGTATTACCTCATCATGCTGCAGGTTTGAGTGCATTTAGTCTCAATGCACACCCTGAAGTGTAACAGTATCTAATTTATATAACACCTGTGGATGTATTCGCATTGTGTTATTTAAAGTATGTCTATGACAGAGCACCTATAACAGAACCATGATCTGATGCACGTGGGGCCCTTCAGCTGAGCTGCTCGGTTGCAAACGTGGGCTCTCTGTGAAGGCAGAGTTTAGTAGCTGCTGTGCTTTCATCTTTGACCTCCACCTGACACTGGGACTTGGTGCTCTTGCGGTTGCTTTGGCGCGGGTCGTCGCCGTGGATGCTAGTGTCGATACGGGACAGGGTGCACATGCTGCTCTGGTTGTGTGGGTGGAGACGGGTGGGACGGAGCTCGAGTTCATCGTAGCTGGACACATGGATGAAGGGACACCACCTGAAGGCCCGTTTGAAACCGGCCCTAAACCTGGAGGTTTGGAAAAAATTATTTTTGAAATGGATTCCTAGTTCATCTCAAAATACAACAGATAACATTAATAGGCTATAATGAATTGATTATTAATAATAGCTTCATAATAAGCTAGGATAATAGATCATGAATGTATAGGAATTGTGTAGATCCAAAAAATCAATACCTAAAAAGCGTTAGCAAGTAAACATAAGCAAGTTACTCTCCAGTTGACCAGCAAGTTTATTAACCTCCTGAGACCCTGTGACCTCATATGAGGACATTATATTTTGGTGTATTTCTCTGAGACTATACATGCCACAGTTTTAAGCCAGTTGACTGGTAAATTTTGAAAGAACGGCAAAGCTATATAATTTATATAGAACTGTAAGGATTATTCTTTTTTATATTCAAATAATACATTAAAACTATAAATAAATCATAATTTTTTAATAATAAAAATAAACATTAATTTTAAATATATTATAAATCAATATATTAAATATATTATTAAAAATAATATATTAATATTATATATTATTTATATATATTGATATATTAAATATATTGCTACAATATTACAAATTATAATATATATATATATATATATATAATTTTGAAGTAGAACTGAAATAGTATTTTCTTATAAAACATCCTCAAAAAACATTTGTTTTTGTTTCATAATTTTGACAAATTGTTTAAAAAGGGTGGTGGGGGGGGGGATTGATATAATAAACTAAATTATTTTACTACTATTATTTTATTATTGTATTCTGCTTTTTGAGTTAAACTATCATTCAAAAGCTTGAGGTCAGTATGATTTTTTAAAATATATTAATGCTTTTTTTTTAGCAAAGACACATTATATTGGCAAAAATGACAGTAAAGACATCTATAATGTTATAAAAGAATTCTAAGAATTCTATTTCAAATAAATGCTGTGTGTGTGTGTACTGGTTTCCTTTTAGTTTTATGGGACAAAGATAAAAAAATGTTGATAATTCATCTGTGCAAAATGTTATACTTTTAAACGTTCTAAGAACATTTTTATAACATTGCCATTAAGTTATGAAAATGTTATTTCAAAATGATTTCTTTTTCCTTTTAGTATCATGAAACAAAGATAGAAAATGCTTTTAATTCACCAGTGCAAATTTTCGCAGGGGTTCACACGCCCTGCGAAACCCACTGAAATCCTTTTTGTTACCCTTCTAGCCAATCAGCCATTAACAGTTATTTTTGAATTAAACATGACATTTTGAAGTAGAACTGAAATAGTATTTTCTTATAAAACATCCTCAAAAAACATTTGTTTTTGTTTCATAATTTTGACAAATTGTTTAAAAAGGGTGGTGGGGGGGGGGATTGATATAATAAACTAAATTATTTTACTACTATTATTTTATTATTGTATTCTGCTTTTTGAGTTAAACTATCATTCAAAAGCTTGAGGTCAGTATGATTTTTTAAAATATATTAATGCTTTTTTTTTAGCAAAGACACATTATATTGGCAAAAATGACAGTAAAGACATTTATAATGTTATAAAAGAATTCTAAGAATTCTATTTCAAATAAATGCTGTGTGTGTATGTACTGGTTTCCTTTTAGTTTTATGGGACAAAGATAAAAAAAAATGTTGATAATTCATCAGTGCAAAATGTTATACTTTTAAACGTTCTAAGAACATTTTTATAACATTGCCATTAAGTTATGAAAATGTTATTTCAAAATGATTTCTTTTTCCTTTTAGTATCATGAAACAAAGATAGAAAATGCTTTTAATTCACCAGTGCAAATTTTTATACTTCTCTCCAATCAAGAGTCTGAGAAAGGGTTCACACGCCCTGCGAAACCTACTGAAATCCTTTTTGTTACCCTTCTAGCCAATCAGTAGGCTCTTTAAACAATCAATGGGCTTTGGAAAGTGAGGTTGTGTAAAGGTGAGTTTAAGCCAGCGTTAGCCTACGGTTATATCTGAAACGATTCTGTAATCTCTTAAGAACCATTCTGTAAAAACCATTTTTGCACAATACGAGATGAATAGTCCCAGATTAATCCCTGAGAGGGACCTATCACTGTCCCACGTGTGTGAGCGCGTGTCACAAAAAGCTCAGAGCTGACCTGCGGGATAAACCAGACATGACCTTAATCTGTGGAAAAATATCAAATAGATATAGCAATACAGTGAGATTCCCTCAGTACAGGTAACAGCAAATCCATAGATTCATTTCTATGATTTACAAATGCATGGGCTCATTTCTTAAACACTGTCCTTTAGTCACCTCATTCTGATGCTCGTACCGAGGACAGAGAGATTATATGAGAGAAATCAGTCAGCTCCTTACAAACATATTTTTATGAACATTTTCATAAGGTTCACATTAAGTTATGAAAACATTATTCTCTGAACATTCAAAATATCCAGTTTAAATTTTTTTTTTTACATGTTTATGCACTCATTCTCAAAAACATTAAGGGAGTGTTCCATTTTATAATTTTGCAAATATTACTTTTGAATGTTCTCTGAACATTTTGAAACTAGTTAGTCGTGACATAAAAAAACGTCCAAATAAAAAGGTTTCAGAAAAATGAATGATATATATATATATATATAATGGTTTTTGTGCTATTTTTATTTTATTTATTTTTTTACGAATGTTATCAAAGACCAGATAACTTTGAACAAATGTTCTGTTACTGGAAGAACGTTTCTTCACAACTTTAAGAGAACCTTGCCAGAATGTTAAGTTTGAACATAAAGCTCACTTTAAAATACTTATTTTTGTCCATGCAATGAAAGTCCATGCAGTATTTGTTCATATTTTGAATTTTGATTTTTTTTTTATATTTGTAGTTTTCTTTTTAATTTAATATTTTTGCAAACTACTCACTAAACTGTTATTTTTTACTAGTTATTTTTTTTTATATATTTCTATTCATTCTAATTTATTGCTTCATTTTTAGTTTTAATAATCTTAGTACTACTAGAACTTAAACTTATTTTATTTCAGTTAGTTGCCAAGGCAACAATCCTAATTTTTAATTTGAAGGTTTTTTTCTCATTTACTATTTTATTTCAGCTTTACTTAAATTAACAAATACAATTATAGTTTTTATAGTGGCATTATTATTATTATAGGTTTTTGCTATTATAACAATAACACTGCATGGAGTTCAATGTTGTTCTGGATGTTGTTTTGGACAAGAAACATTCTTCCATGTTCTGCAGAAGAAAGAAAGTCATGCTGAAGAACTACTTTAAGATGAAAACCACAGCATATGTTTTTCCAAGCCTTTTGACCAAAACTAATATATGTCAGTATGTCCTCTTACCTTCCTTTTGGCATGTAACTGTCCAACATAACTGTCCGACGAATCTCCAGGAATCGCTCCTCCCCAAAGTGTCACCCCGACTATAGTGTAGGTGATACCCATGACCACTAGGGGCAGCATGTACACCAGCACCGTTACTATGATATGATACCTGCACAGGTGAGAGGAGAGGACGCCGTTGTAAAAAAAAAATGCTTGGCGCTTGGGTGTTTAGACAATAAATTTGGATTGTGAGTCAGGAAGATTGTTTACACTTCTGACACACCATTTGGCCACCGGTAAATAGGTCATGTGTTTGGTTTTCTCGCCTCACTGGCAGATGGCACTTAGTGTAAAGATAGCAGGCAATGTAAAGCCAGAAAGAGCATTACCAATATTTGAGCAGTGGAAGCAGAGCCTGAGAAGACAGAAATTACAATCAAGCAGAAGAAAAACCAGTCAGCCGGTGTGAAATCATCGGCTTGCTGTCTTGCTTTCTGCACACGCATCTGGCTTCTAAGAGATTCCTCAATGAAATCCATCTAATTAGTGACTGATCTGGGACTGTTGTCAGAAACAAATGAATCTCTTACATGAACGAATCCTCAGAAGGTCTCGGCCAGGCGACGTAGCAGATGGTTCTGCGAGGCATAGTTCTCGTGGTCGAGTAGAAACACAGCGGGAAGGCCAAAATCACAGCCAGGGCCCAAATACAGACAATCACCACTTTAGTAGCGGTAGCTGACAGACGAGGCTTTAGAGGGTGAATTATGGCCATGTACCTGCATAAAGAAGAACATGGTTTTAATGAACCCTTTTCACACAGAAACAGAAGTCATCATAGTTGGGTGAACTTCAATAGTTGTGAATGGAGACTACAACGTATACGATTTTTGTGTTCCCATTTCAAAGAAATATCCACAATAAGGTTTCTATGACTTTACAAAAGAGGGGGGAAAATGGCCAGAGATTCATTACGATGGTCAGAAGAGAGAAAGATGTCAAAGTTGCTGTCACTCCCTAAGCCGTTTAAGAAGAACTCATACATCAGCATTAGTTTTCTGTAATCTGATGACAAGGTAATAAAACACAATGTGTAATGTTATTAATGTACACACATTTTTTTCTAAAAAAATGAATATGCAAAAAAGTTGGTAGATTTGCAATGTTAATAACTGTGAAAATGTGTCATCACAGTCTGTGAAAAGGGTCCATAATTAAATCTAACTGAAGAACTGACACCCTTAATGAGTGTGAGATGTTGAATTAGAATTTGATTGTCAAAAAACACATAGTTGATAATGTCTCATGTTTATGCATGATGACATCTTTATGGGTCATATAAAAATAGGTCTAGGATTTACTTTGGTATAGTTTTTGAGTTTTATTTTTACAGTGCATTATTAAACATTTTAATTCCACTTCAATTTAAAATTGAATTCTGCATCCTGTTTGCGCCCTCAGTTCAAACTCACAAATTATGCACAATTCATGTCTGAATGGTGCAAAACCCTGTCTGAAGTCAACCCTTTTGTTAACATGAAACAAACAGGGGAGGCAGCATATGAATGAACACTTGTGCATGCTGAAAGATTACGCAGAGTTAAGATGAAGAGATGTTCTCTGGCTCCTACACAGCCACAGACTGAGCTTGTAATCTTTTAATGAAGGAAAAGCCCCCCTATGCTCTGGATCATGCAGATCAGTATCACAGATCTCATCTCATTAGATGCATTCATGACTAACTGATGCTATGAACGGTGCCTGCATAATACTGAAAATTAACAGTTTAGCTAAATAAATGTAGATAAAACATCTAAGAACGAGGTATAATGAATGATATGTTGATTTATTCTATTTAAAATAATGCAAAACATTTTTTAATTATAGATACGAGCCAAATTTTATCATCTAAAATAGCCCACTTTTATGACTTTTAAAGACATTTTCAAAGCTTGAAATGTATACCGACTCATCAACAACCGCTACTCATATTTGAACACATTTATTGTTCAATTCTGCTGTAGCTACACATTGAGCGGACGTTCTGAAATGTAAATAGCTCTCAGGCAGTTACTTTTGTTCACAGGGGCGGACTTACCCATTAGGCAAAGGTAGGCGACCGCCTTGGGCCCCCAACAGCCAAGGGCCCCCTAAAATTCTTTTCATATAGGAGATGCGCATTAAGCGCTGACACGCGAACAGTCACTGATTTCGGTGTTTATTACCACGACATCCGTCCGAATTGAACTAGCTTTTTGTGTATACTGCTTGAAGGAGATGAAAATAGTATGCATCTGAAGCTGTAATTAAATATTGAGAAACAGTGTGTATTATATGTTTATAATTGTTTTAAATGCCGCTTACTCATCTATGAGAAAGTATAGAGGACGCAGTTACTTGTTTGGTTGATATGAGAAACAGGTGTGTAAATGTATAATTGCCTTTTCATTATTTTTTCAGTTTTATTTAAATTTGTAGTTAAAATAACTAAAAATAAATGTATTTTAAAGTTTAGAATTAGACAGCCTTTGCACACAGGCTTATGCTGGTAACTCATCAGTGGACTTTCCACGTCAATATAGGTTATATTTTTTCCACACTTTTCTCATTCTATATTTCTGACGTTCTAAAAGCGCCTCCTACTGGCTGAGAATGAATGTTCATTTTCAATAATCCAGTCTGTAGTTTTTGCTCAATGCGAAAATCCACCCACATAACCCCGTTTTAAATTAATATAACAATTTATATGTCTGACGCTCAATTGTGAGGTTTATCATTTTATAATTAATTTTGTTTTTGTGAAAACCTGTATCTCAACTGTAAATCAGTTGCTATTTCGTGGTCTACAACATGAAAGAAAGCCATTATAATATGCACATGGAAAATATAGAAACATTGGACACAATTATGGGGCACCATTGTGCAGCAGCAAGCATCACACAAAAAAAAGGAACCTCAAGGTTGATCTAGGAAAATGTGCAAATGTATAGGGCCCCATTCCTATATTTTGTCTAGGGCCCCCAATTCACTAAATCCGCCCCTGTTTGTTCATATAGTTTCAACGCAGAAAGAGTGCATGTGATAATTTACAAAGGCATTTAATACGTTTTATAGATTATTTTATAATTTTATAGACTGTATTTTATATTATATATCTCTATTTTCCATGTCTGGAATTCAACATTTTTTAATTCCTATGAGAACCATGAAGACGAATTACAGCCTGATGACGTTTTTCGAGGTCATTAATGAATTCAAACGAATTGTAATTCCAGCACTTTTGGAATCAATAAACAACTCCACATAATTCCACATGGAATTCATATTAACAATGTTTTACAGTCCTCTATTTGTTATAGATTGGTAAATGTTCTATTTGTTAAATGTTTGGGTAAACCCAACATTTTATTGCTGCCAGATAATTTACAATGACATTTTAATGCTTTTTTTTAATAGATCATATTCTTATAGGCTTTTATTATATAGCTACTTTTCCAGGTGTGACCCTGAATCAAGTATCCTGCACGATCAAAATGTTATAATTAATCATAAACAGCCTTACCTGTCGACTGCAATCGCTGTCATGGAGTAAATGCTGGCAAACACAGCGGTCACGGGAAAGAAGTTGTGGAACTTACAGTAAACCTCTCCAAAGTACCACTCTCCGTGCGTGGCGTAAATGAAGTTGATGAGCGTGTTGAAGGCGGCCATCGAGGCGTCGGAGAACGCCAAGTTGAGCAAGAAATAGTTGGTCACCGTGCGCATCCGTTTATGAGCCAAAATGATCCAAATAACGATGAGGTTACCGAACACAGCGACCGCCAGCACGGAGCTGTACGCGACCGACCAGATCGCGACGCGCCACGGCGGCTGCACGAATTGATTTGTGAAATTACGCGTTACGTTTGAGCCGCTCTGAGGACCAGCCATGATCAACTTACTGTGATATCCTTCTTAAACAGCTAGGATTTGATCTGATACATATATTTATGCTTCTATAGTGTCAAGTATAGATCTGGCACGTCCTCGTGCACATCCTCCTGCGCTCCATCCAAAGTGTCCAAAATAGCGGTGACGCGCAGTCATATGCCTCATATGACAGACATCTGGAGATGCTGCTGCTCCTGCCACATGTTGCTGCTCAAATGAATAGAGAGACATGCAAAAGTGGGATAGTTTCAGTAGATTTTCAATGGAGGACTGAAAAATACGTTATAGTCTCAGCCTTCCTAAATGAACCAAAACAATTTCAATGGGATAGGCTTCTGAACGAAGGCAGTTCGTTTCACTTCAGCATCGAATTTATATAAAATATTAATTTATATGCGTTTACTGCAAATGTGGTGGGGGGAAAAAAACTTTCAAGCAATTTTCTATGAAAAGTTATACTTTTGTTAAATTTATGGTCCTCCTTCTGGATCCACGGATAAGTGGTCTAACAGTTCTAAATAGTTAGAGGGATAGTTCGCCCAAAAATGAAATTCTGTCATCAAAGAAGATATTTAGAAGAATGTTGGCAACCACGCAGTTGACAGTAGCCACTGACTTCCACAGTATATTTTTGGAAATCAATGGCTACCATTTAACTATATCGCAACTGTTCGGTTACCAACACTCTTCAAAAGAAATGACTTTGCAAACACATTTGAAATGTGTAATTCTCTTCATTACTCTTAATTCTCATAATTCTCTTCCATAAATCTTTTTGTAATAAGGTTTTTACTGTAGCATTTTTACAGTCTTTTACCGTTAAATTCACGGTCATTTTTTACAGTGTAGTTACAAAATGTCTTATACTACTCAAGCACTAACTGAAGAAATTATGATATTTAAAATGTTAAGTCAGTGTTACATTTGTAAAGGTAATGATTAATTGGCATGGATAATGACTGATTTATAGTCCTTTGAGGTTCATCTTAATCTGACTGAAAGGATGCAGGCAATGTTGAGTGAAGTGCGTGTCGCTGTCTAGCTGGTATAAACTGTAATTGGCAATAGAGTTGCTTTGTAACGCCTCCCTACATTAATTAACAGTCTTTGAAGTCAATCCTAAAACAGCAAGGCAGTGAAGTGTCAGTAGTTTTGAACTTTTTTAAAAGCCTGAACTGCGATCTCTTTTACTTCTTCTCAAATGAACAATCTTCAATGTCTTTGAATGAGTTGTCACAACATTCCATAACGTTTTCCACATCTTTCTCTCTGATCTGTCAGATGATGCAAAACAGGTTAGTGTGATGCGCATTTATATTCAGTGCAAGAAGAACATTTTGTCCAACAACAGTGCAACAATTGACTATGATTGTCAAAATATTTGGTTGTCAAAAATTCACAAAATTCTGTTATTATTTACTAATATTCACAGCAAGATTAGAGGAAACTTCACATAGCTCATTTCTACACAAAAGCAGGTCTGTCGAGATATACTGCCTATAAAAACACAACAAAATAACCTTAAAAATAGCTATTGAAAGCCTTGTGTAAGGAACAGATTAAAATGTACAGCTTCAAAACTTTGGATATGTGGATGACTCATATAGAGCACATTTGTGTGTGTGTGTGTGTGTGTGTGTATGTGTGTTTTTGTTTAAAATAAACAGATTTCATTCTTGCATATTTCGTGCATACAACTATATGGGTTTATGAGTTATGAGTTAATAATGACATAAATGGAATTTTTGGTGTTCTATTGCTTTTAATGGAATAGTTCACCCAAAAATGAAAATTTGCTGAAAATGTACTCACTCTCAGGCCATCCAAGATGTAGATGAGTTTGTTTCCTCATGGGAAAAGATTTGGAGAAATGTAGCATTACATCACTTGCTCACCAGTGGATCCTCTGCAGTGAATGGGTGCTGTCAGAATGAGAGTCCAAACAGCTGATAAAAACATCAAAATAATCCAAAAGTAATCCCTACAACTCCAGCTTTTCACTTCACAAAACATTAATTGATGGACTGGAGTCGTGTGGATTATTGTGATGTTTTATCAGCTGTTTGGACTCTCATTCTTATGGCACCCATTCACTGCAGAGGATCCACTGCAGTGCAAGTGATGTAATCATACATTTCTCCAAATCTGTTTGATAAAGAAACAAACTCATCTACATCTTGGATGGCCTGAGGGTGAGTATATTTTCAGCAAGTTTTCAGTTGGTAAACTATTCCTTTAAATTACTAGCCAAGATACTAATTTAGCCTGTACATATGTACACAGTTTCACCAGTAGATACGCATGCATGTTTGTGTACATGTGTTTACGCTCATGCCTGTGTTTGTCTGTGTGTGCTCTAACCACAGAAAGGCCATGTTACGCATCTCACCGTGCACCCAGGGTTCAGGTGGTTGGTTACCTTTCATCTTCGACTATTTCATTAATCCTTTAATGCTTCCACAGGTGTTTGAGCTCTCCGGGAAGACGCTGCCCTTTTATGCAGATCTGGCAACCTCCACTAATGCCTGTTGGAGGAGTCTAGCTTTCACACTCTGTCAGTGCCTGGGGAGAAGCTCTTCCAATTAAAAGGGATTAAATTCTGATTGAAGCACACTTAATGAATCAGACCAACAGTTGCTTCCTCTACTTCACAAGGGGGATAATAATGGCACAATGCAAGTGTGTGGCTGTGTAGTGGGGTGAGCTTTTATTTTTTTGGCAAGTGGACTCTGATGGGGGAATCACCAATCAACAGGTAAATGTTTAAAATGTGGATTCTCAATTGGTGGGTTGCAATTAGGGCTGCACTGATTAATCAAAATAAAGACTGTGAGCAGCTCATGTTTTAGTGATTTCAGTATCTCAGAGCGGCTCGGCTTGCAGTAAAAGTTGCCCCACACAAACTGATCTCTGCATCCGCTCTGAGTTTGGGGCACTTGTAACATGCATTTGGGAATGCAACAAGTGCCAACCATCTCCCCAAACTTATAAACCAGCTGTTGTCAACAAACAAGAAGCTTTAAAGGGACAGTTCACACAAAATTGAAAAATCTGTCATCATTTACTCACCCTCAAGTTGTTCCAAACCTCTATGAGTTTCTTCTGTTGTGCACAAAAGAAGATATTTTGAAGAATGTTGGGAACCAAACAGTTGACAGTAACTATTGACTTCCATGGCAGTCAATGGCTACCATTAACTTTTTCGTTAAAATATTCTTTAAAATATCTTCTTTTGTGCTTCGATTTTTCTTCCACAAATCATGCAGCCCTAGTTGGGATCCAAAAATGTTCCTGATAGGGTCTGGACAACAAGGTAAAAAAAAACAATGTAAATAATAAAATGCAAGTAGTTGTGTTCATCAAAATAGCAAGTAATAGTCAAAGGCTGAGCATCCAACTAAACTCTACAGTATTTTAGTGCAAATTCATCCGTCACTTGGTAGAAGCTAATCTAAATATCAGATACCAACTTGGAAAAGTTGTGTGACATGCTTTCATTGTCAAAAACGATGAATTAAGTTACAAGAAAACATACACATTTCTCACTTTTCTCTTCATTTCCACTTCTGTCATCAGCTATCATCCTGCAGCGAGACCTCCCGAAGAAAACAAAGGTTGCTAGGGAAGAGGTGTTATTGAGGCCAGCAGGGGTGCCGCTTACTTTACAGACTACATCGATTTTAATTGATCAGACATTACTATTAAAATGCACTGTCCTTTGCTAAACTGAGATCCACAGGTTGAAGACATACAATGCCAGAGAATGAAGAGAGAAAATTGCCTCACGGTGCTCAGTGAAAAGGCTGCGTCCAAAAAAAGCTGTGTGTTTAATGAGATGAACCTTGCGTGTCTCGACTCAAACTGCATCACATGCCACTACCGTCTCTGTCTTCACAGCACTCTTGTTGCTGAAGCTCTCAGCAGGGTCCTACTTCACATGTTTCTTCAGAACAGAGATTGCCTTCTATCTCTGATTACATCCATTGTGCACACAGCTAGTTTAAAGATTGCTTTCTCCTGCTTCAACAAGAGAAGACCCAGTCCTCAAAAGAACTACCTGATTTCATTCAAGCTCTGTGAAATCTCACATCTTTGATTTCTGGGGTATTTTTAAATCAACTCTAGGTTAGGTTAAATTACTCCTTTCAGTCATACTGCGTGCAAGCTGTAATCGCAGTGCGTCTTGAATTGATATTTTAACCATATAAACCAGCAGCCATCATTTTTCACCATCGTGTCATTTCAAAGCCATATGCTGTTATTTTATTTATTTATTTTTCTTCCTGTGGAACAATCTTAATGCATTGATTTTCCATACAACAACACTTCACATCATGGTCAGTGATGGCTGGTGGAAAATTGTTTAATTAGGGCTGTGCCCATCCAACATATTTAGCAAACATCCAGGATGATTTAATGCAAAACAGTTAAAGAAAAACGGATTGGTAAGGGGGGAAAAATAAGACTTGAAACATATTTTGGGACTGAAACTTATTTGAAATAAAAAATAATAGTTTTACCAAGTTCAGGGTTATTATTCTCACAAAACTTTTTTTGTCCTGCAAGCTTTTTTTCAAGGTACGTTAAAATACTTTTTAATTGTCATAATTCACCATTTATGTATACAGTGCAACAGCAAAAACTGTGAGGAAAACAAAACATAATTGTTAAATCATCCTCAAACTTAATCCCCTGCAGATAAGAACACATAGGGCCCTGGGGCTATAGCAAACCCAAGGGCCCCCCTTCATAGTAGCGTATCTTGGTGACACAAGGTTTTCTACCAGGAATAATTTGTTTATTTTTATTTTTATTAAATCTCCAACACAGAGATACAATGAGTATGCACACTAAATATTCCAGGCTACAATACATTAAAAGAATAAATACATTAACACTCGATATAAAGTCAAAGCAAACAGGTTTCCTGAAGCAGAAACAACTTTTGAGCAAATACAGCTCCCTTAAGGAGTTTATTTTAAATAGTTTTATTATTATAAGGTCTTCATTCTGGCCCTAGAAGAGGATAATCAGGGCTGGACTGGTGTTTCCTTTCACTTTTGTAGTCCTTGCTCTGATATGTTGCATGTTGTGGTAGAATGTGAGACAGCTTGTAAAAATCGTTTAGAAGAACAACAGTACGCCGTTCTGAGTCTGACAGAAAACAGCAAAACTCCCTCTCTAGCAGCAGAGCCTTAAAGGTGACATATCATGAAAATCTGACTTTTCCAGGTTTTAAGTGCTATAATCAGGTCCCCGGTGCATCTACCAACCAAGGAAACGTGAAAAAGATTAACCCAGTAACTTTGTTTTGGGAAGCCTTTTTCTGCAAGCGTCTGAAAAAACGAGCTCGTCTGATTTCGCTCCCATGGTGACGTGGCAAAGGGATCTCATTATAATATTACCGCCCCTTAATCTGTATGTTTACACTCACAGCGACAATGGTGTACCAGCTCTAATGCCATGGCAAAAGTTTAAGCAAAGCATGCTAACTTTTCTGTCTTTGGCTGCAGAGACGAGCACAGAACACCGTTTAGAGTCCCAGCTTCAGAGGAGACAAGAGAGCAGTGGATTTATTGATTTATTTACTGTATATTGCTGCTGCCACACAGATCTAACGTAGTTCAGTTCTGAAAAGTCCTCTGTAATCCTAATATTAATATTAAAAAACATGGCCTGACCAGCCAAGGAAAAATTCGGTAACATTACACGTTTCATCCACTTTATAATCCACTAGCAGAGGACATATACAATTTGGCGGGGTAACATTAGCCCGCTACCACAAATATTTTGTCAAATAAAATGGCATTTGAATAAAAACTTACCTCTGAATCTCTGGGCTTCGACGTCGGTTACTTCTATGCCTGCTTCTGATATTTTTTGAAGGACCTCCTGGGTTGAACGCCCTGTAAGACCCATGAGTACCCGTGCCGTGCGAACTGGACGCAAAATAAGAGTGTTATTAATTTTCTGTTGTAGATGGCATTGGCATTCCTACCAGCAGGGGCAGCGGGCTGTGAAAGAGTGCAGAAGATACATTGACAAGGATACATTGACTTCAACAGAGCCACACTGAGGTGAGATGTGACTGTGGAATGTAGTTTTGTGAGTTAATTTCTTATTTTAAAAAAATGGATTGTTAAGAAATCATATAATGGATAAAGAAATAAAAAATTGGGTCTGTTTAGGACAAACCTATTCACTAGAATGAATCATACTTCCCAACTCTACACATGAAATAAAAACAGCCATTTAGAAATGAAAACCCAGAAATGAAAATTCTGTCATAATTTAAGCACTTTAAGAAGTTATTCGGAAGGATGTTGGTAACCAAACACTTGACAGTAGCCACTGACATTCATAGTGTGGAAAATTTTTTTTTTCATTTTGGGTGGACAGCACCACTTTTTATTTTTATTTTTAAAAGCACCACTATTTAAGAAAATTGAGAAAAGGAAGTAAATATATTTATACATGCAAAAATGTTAATTGATGTTAATCTAATATCACCTCTCTCGCGCAGTTCTCCTATTACAGACAGCAGCCCGTATGAAGTCCGGCGCGCTCAGGAACTGAACAATCTTCTGGGGCCGAAAGGATCCACAGATGCAATCGACTTGATCTGTGACCTTCATAACACCACGGCTAACATGGGCCTCACACTGATCCATTACACGACCAGTGACTGGGTGACTCTGCACATCTGCAAATACTTACAGGCAAGAACATCACAAGTGTGCTTCAATAAACACCATACTGGAAACCAAGGTCAGTCGTTCTCAACTGGTGGGAGGTTTGTCCTATCATATACTCTAATGCATGATAGAATGAACCCTTTCATGCATGAATTATTAAAGCACAAAGTAATATTTTTATATGTATGTTTTTACTTTTAAACAAGTGAAAAAGCATGCCAATAACTTTTTTTTTCTTTCAAAATATTTTATTTTGAGGGAGTTACATATCTGTCTACTGTAGTGGACACCATGCATCAAGGGTATAAAAAGTGATTTTATAGAACTTATTGTTTGGTTTGAAAAAACATGTTTATAAAACATTTACAACGAGCAAATGATATGAATACACATAAGAACATTAAATAACAACAAACTATGTCATGACGGCACAGTAAAGTTCAGTGTAACTTCTCCCCCTCGTTTTCCTTCCACACACACACTCTCTTTAGCGCATGTGTGAGTCAGCAAAACGCTCGCTTAATGCTGGAGCTTCATGGCCAGTGGAAGTGAGAGCTGCTGTTACATCAGCATCATGCGTGAAAGATGATCCTGACTGAAGAAGGCAGAGAAGAACGAGGTAAATCATTGTTTTGTAGGTTACTTGACTGTGTTTGAGCAATAGTGGAAGAATGTCTTAAACTATTAATAGGGTAGAGGGAAGTTCGGGGAGGAGTTATAGACCAGAATATCAGTATTTTAATAGATATATGAACAATTATATCATACAAAAACAAGCACAAACATTTGCTTGACCAGCCACAACATCAGCAACAGTTACTGCAAAATTATTTAGCCTACCTCCAACTCTCTTTGCAGAACACCCAATCCCTGTTCCCTGCATCTCCCTCCTGCATAATCTGTTTTTCTTTTTCTCCTTGTAGCTGGAAATCAGCTCACAGACAATTTGCAGGCTATATTTATATATATATTTTTTTTTTATTTGTTTATTTTTTTTATAATTACAGTCTTGCTGGAGAACTCCGGTCTGACGCACGCGGGTTCTCGCGTTATTTCCTTATCCCGTCTCGCGTGTGTTTTGTTGTGAAACGTAGTTTGCGGACCAGACAGAGCTGTTTGCGATTCTTCCTAATGTGAAGTCATGCAGTGTGTTCACCTCCTGTCGCCGATCCATCGTGCAATGTGAACACAGCAGCGACTGACTGCTACCTCAGATCACTCAGGTCACGCGGTGTGAAAACAACAGCGACCCGACGAGTTTGAAAGTCGTGCAGTGTGAACTCGGCATAAGTCGCGATGCGCGTTGAGCTCTCTCGGCCACTGTCATATAGGGTTTAGTGAAGGTTAATTTGAATTAATCAAAAACAAAGGAGAACATGTTTACACTAACGCACTTAATGGAAGTCAAATTTAACTGCTAATTGTCACCATGCCATAGAGCTCGATTTGTACTGGCCACACCTCTTTCTCACCCACTGATTGAGATTATTTGCAAATGCAAATTGAAAAATGGTAGGCTAATAAAATCTGTTTAATACAGTTCATTAATTTAATACAGCCGTGGCATTTGAAAACTCAAATAGTGTTATTAACTTTCTGTTGTAGATGGCATTGGTGTTCCTGCCAGCACTGGCTCGTATGGCCGTAAGCGGCGGTACTCATGGAAACGAGCTGTCCGGTGTGTATGTGGTGCAGGAGATGGAGCGACAGCGGAAAGAGACGGGAGAGCACGCGTGGCCGATTCCCGTTACAACCGTGCTGTCAAACCCACGGGCTGTGAAAGAGTGCAGGAGATACATTGACAAGGACATAAACCGCTGCTTCAACAGAGCTACGCTGAGGTGAGATGTGGAACTGCAGCATGGAATGTTGGAGCGTTTAGCCTTCTGTATTATAACCAGTGTTGGGGGTAACACATTACAAGTAACGCGAGTTACGTAATCAGATTACTCTTTTCAAGTAACTAGTAAAGTAACGCATTACTTTTTAATTTACAAGAGAATATCTGAGTTACTTTTTCAAATAAGTAGCGCAAGTTACTTTTTTTTCCAATTTATTGACTGACAGCTATCCTGTCCCCATGTTGAGAAATCAGATGTTACTGTAGTTCTAAAATAAATATGAATATGCATTAATTAATCTCACTCACAAAAAAACAAACACAGATTCAGTATTCCTCAAAATGAATACAAATAATACAACTCAGAATATGATGCAAATCTGCAATAATTAAATGTTAAACAACACAAATATCCTTTATGTATTTAATCCCATTCTATTAACCAATGTCTTTGCTTCTGACCTTCGATGATCCAGTTCAACCATACTAATAAGCACAAATTACTCTAGACAAATATTTGTGTGTCTTTTTTTATTGCTGAAGTGTGTTGAAATGTCTTCTTCTGCACTCTACTGTACGGATGTAAATGTACTTTCCCTTCAGCCTGAGGCTTATTCACTTCACTTTTGGTGTGAAAAGGCTTTTATATTTGCCAAAAATAAAACTTTTTTATTTTAAAAACAAACAAGCAAGCCCTGTCTAGATTTTAAAAGTAACGCAAAAGTAACGTAACGCATTACTTTCCATAAAAAGTAACTAAGTAACGTAGTTACTTTTTTAATGGTGTAACGCAATATTGTAATGCATTACTTTTAAAAGTAACTTTCCCCAACACTGCATATACGTATGTACTAGTGTTAATTTCGTTAACGAAGACTATGACGAAAAATTTTCGCTTTTTTCCCATGATGAAGACGAGACGACAATACGGTCAATAAATGATAACTAAGACTATATCAACATGCAATTTCGTTGACGAAATAAGACGAGACTAAAATGTATTCAAAAAGATAAAAACTTTACCAAAAACCTCTTTATTTTCGTCAAAAAATTTGACAAAATGTTATTGCAGACTGTTCTACACGCCTCTACTAGCTCTACGAGCTTTCATGAGTGCGGTTGCCAGATATCAAGAGTTCTAATCCCCGAATCAGAGCTTCGCTGTTGAATTCATACATCTTCTGCCCGGTGTGTTTTGCTTATTTTAAGCAATCTGGCAACCATGCGCAAAATATTTGTTTATCTGTTCAACCATTATACAGAATGACGAAAATGTGACTAATATTTAATTGACTAAAAAACCTGACTAAAATTCTCATACATTTCATTGAAGAAACAAAAACAGTTTGTCTAAATATGATAACTAAAATGTACATTTGAGTAAGACCAAGACAAATTCTAGGTCTATTGTTTGATTTGAATTTGGCCATCTCAACCATTTTGACATTTGACGACCACTGATGCAGACCAGCCTAAAAATATAACCTTTAAAGTTAGAAAAATACTTTTTTGTCATTTTTATTATTTAGGGGTCTTGTCCCCCTCAGTGTCTGTGGTGGTTATGGCCCTGAGTTAAGTAGATGTTGACATGTGGTGCAGCACCACAAAAATTGCAAAGTGAGTAAATATATTTCAACATGCAAATATGTTACTGCATAGCTCTAAAATCCTCTGTTTCTCGCAGTTCTCCTATTACAGACAGCAGCCCGTATGAAGTCCGGCGCGCTCAGGAACTGAACAATCTGCTGGGGCCGAAAGGATCCACAGATGCAATCGACTTGATCTGTGACCTTCATAACACCACGGCTAACATGGGCCTCACACTGATCCATTACACGACCAGTGACTGGGTGACTCTGCACATCTGCAAATACTTACAGGCAAGAACATCACAAGTGTGCTTCAATAAACACCATACTGGAAACCAAGGTCAGTCGTTCTCAACTGGTGGGAGGTTTGACCCAAATTTGGACAGACAGCCAAGGGAAAAACAATGGTAAATGAAAAAAAGAAATTGCAACTTAGAAGCAAAAATAAAAAAGTAATAGTTAGAAGAGCAAAATAAATAAATACACGAAAATACCCAGTGTTGTAATGTATTCTGACTACTTTTGGATTACTTTTAGATTACTTTTGACCTAACTTGTTTATAGATTTAAATGGGATTATTGTTATAGAAAAAATATATGACCATTACCTGGCATCAGAGAACTTGCAAATGTGTTGCTAAATTATTTGAAGTATTACCTTTAAATCTCAGGGGGGCTTCAAGTAAATATTTGAGGTCAGAGGGGTTTGACTGACAAAAAAGTTTGGGAATCCCTGCATCACAAGAACAAACATAAAAGCATGAAAACAGCACTGACATGGACAAAGTCTTCCAGGTTTTAAATAATTTTGTGAGTTATACATCAAAAGTGTTTAGTAACTTGCGTAATTCGTCTCATAAATTGAATAATTGACTGAGAGGTGCTTTTGTCCCCAAATTCAGATGCATGGATTGCAAATTAATTTACGTGACATTTACATGGCCATTATATATTGTGAATACTCACTGTATACAGTAGAATATTTTTTAAGAAGTAAAATTTAAGAAAAAAAAGAAGAATTAGGGAGAATTAATTATGGATAATTTCCTGCCATTGTTTGAATGAGTTGTAATCATGTAATCCATCAAAAAGTAACTGTAATCTGATTATGAGCATTTAAAAACATTATATAATCTAATTACAAGTACTTAATTTTTGGAATCTGATTACGTAATCCAGATTGCATGTAATCAGTTACTACCCAGCGCTGAAAATACCCAATATTCAGTGTAAAGAAAACCAGTTAAGAGCCACAGACCTAGGTTTTTGTTTATGTGCCATTTTTGTGTTTTGATGTTGTGTGTTGTCATGTACACATTTAAGACTAAGATAACCAAAGTGCCTGTGAGAGTGCTGGTGCTGGATGTCCCGATTAGTGATGCTTATTCCTTGGAGTCTGTATCCAAGCATGGCTTTTGTAAGTGATGGTGATCATCTCATTGCATTTGCTTTGTGTACTCAACCGCAAATGCACATTCAGATGACCTGTGTTTCTGTAGCAATAGAGGTCGGGCCGCAGCCGCATGGTGTCGTCAGGGCTGACATCTATACCATTATGAAAGAGGCCGTCGACTTGACAATAGACTGGATCCACAAATTCAACTCAGGTACTGTTAGAGCTAATCAGACGTGGCTTATATTTGTGTGTCTTATATCAAACTATATTGTTTTCAGGTACGGTGTTTGAAGGCGGGGATGTGGAAGCCTTTAAGTTGATCAAAAGTGTTGATTATCCCAGAGATCCAAAGACTCGGACTCTCACCGCTGCCATTCATCCTCACCTGCAGGTGCCAGTCATGCTGCTATTTATTATATTTACACACAGAGTTAGCAGGAACATGTCCAGATGATAAGAAAAGGAAGTTTATTTTAGATTTTTTTTTTATTACAGTAATGGCAAAGTATTAATTAATCATGGTAGTATTTGTAGTTTTGCTTTTTTTATGGGAATTATACAAAAAGGGAAAACATAGATGTCTATATGCAAATGTGCTTTGCAAATTACAGAATGTCAGAATGCAACACATTTAATGGATTTGAAAATATGCAAAATAATTTTTTTTAGTTTATTTTAGATTTTTTTTTTATTACAGTAATGGCAAAGTATTAATTAATCATGGTAGTATTTGTAGTTTTGCTTTTTTTTATGGGAATTATACAAAAAGGGAAAACATAGATGTCTATATGCAAATGTGCTTTGCAAATTACAGAATGTCAGAATGCAACACATTTAATGGTCTTGAAAATATGCAAAATAAATTTTTTTTGATTTTGGGTAAAATGTGATCTAGATATGTTTATATGAAATACACCCAAAATCTGAACTGTTTTTCATTGTTGTTTTTGTTTTTTCTAGGACAGAGACTTCTGTCTCCTCAAGCAGGGAGACCCTTTGTTTTTGTCATTTTCTGGAGAAACTGTGAAGTATGAAGAAGAGCCACTTCATCCTTTCTTTATCAATGAAGCTGCCTACTATGAAAAGGAAATCGCTTTTCACTTGGGAAAAAAGATGATGCTGACAATTCCATCGGTGCAGGTGCAGAAAGACTGAAGGATGAGAGAGGAGAAGATATTAAACTCAGCACAATTACCAACACCAATCAGATGATTTTAAAAGAATGTCACTCAAATTATTTTAACAATGACTTATAACTCAGGTACATTACATACTTGTTTGTAGCTATATGACAATGAAAGACTCATTTTGATCTGCTGCTAAAACACAAGCAACGGTGTTCTGGATGAAAAGATATTTATTGTGACCAGCAAAATGTTCACTTGACAGGATCGTGTACAAAACTGTATAAAAAAGGCAAAACCATCTGAAGTATTTCAGACACCATCATCATGATGTCACAGTGGGCTGTGGAGTGTGAGGTATCCTCTTGATTGTATTGCTCATATGCTGTTGCTCTCGCTTGACTGTTTTGAGAAAATTGAGCCTCTCATGGGCTTGGAATAAAAAGACTAAATATAAAGCACACTCACTTGAACAAAACAATCTCAAATACTACAGCACGAAGAATAAACCACATGACACAATGAAAGTAAGTGAAGCTGGATGTGCACGGTGTGATTTTTTCCACTGGTACAATTTTTGCACAATATGATCCCAGTGAAATCTTGAGTAAAATCTACAACCGACTGCAAGTCATCAACAGATTTTTTACATCAAAGTGTGCATGACATACGTGATGAATGACAGCAGCAACTGGAAGTTTTAAGTCACTCGTCCACATCATTTGACATTGAGCCTTTGCATTCATTTCACCAATGTTTTGAGTGTCAGTTTTGGCTTTATATGCACTCATTTTCTTGTCATATTGTCTATGCAATAGTAAACCGCTGAGAAAATCTACAAAGTATAACAAAAACATCATGGTGAAAAATCCCATAACGTGCACCAGCTAAATGTTTTATATGAAATATAAATAAGTATATAACCAACCACAGCTGAGATGGTTTTAAATTGCAACCTGAACCATCACAAAACATTGGATTCTAAAAGTTACTAAACAAGTGTAAAGTACATAAAGATTCTCAGCGAGAAACTAAATGGTAAACAACAGAGTAAAACCAATGCAAAGCACAAGAAAAAATAATAAATAAGCAAACAAAATGATCAGGAAAACACAAAAGGCTCGAGTGATTAATGATTATGACAGAAACAAACATTCAGTCTTTCAGGCCAAGGCAAAACCCTATTGCATCTTGGGATTGCGAAGCGCTAAAATACAGTCACTTCAAGATGTAACTGAGTAGCTACAACACAGGCCGAATAAAAAACACAGAGGTGTTATTTAAAACAAAAGAGAAGACGAAACTAAACTTAACTCATTGAAACTAGTTTAGGTCAACAGGTAAAGTGTGACTAAACAAAAGGTGAAGCCCTGAATAACTACTCTTTAATGTTTATAGATGCTTTTCTGTTGAGCAAGAGTCTGACTGGCTGCGGGTGAGAAGTTGTGTTTCTCATCTTCAACAGCACAGATGCAAAAAGAGTGGTTAAAAAGGCAGTTATATAGTAGTAAGATCCTTCAAGAAATGATTATATTCACAGGAGAGTGCTATGGGTGGCGGGCATTAGTTAACCTACTAACATTGAGTGGTGTGTTCTGACTGTTTCCTTCATAATTTTAGCTTGATCAGTGGTAAAAGCAGCCGCTCAAGCAAATGTGGCCGTGTGCTTTCTATGAGAGCGGACAATCGCTTCGGTGACTCTATAGTCAGTCCTCTATTGCCTAGGCAACCCTGTAGGCTGTCATTCGAGTGTAGTGTTGGCGGTGGCTCCTCGCGGCCCATATGAAGAGTGCAGCTGCCATGATCTGCAGCGGAGACGAGACCAGGGCCAAAAACAAGGACCAGCCCGGAGAATAGTCCATCCCCTCTGGCAGCTCGGATATTTCGTGTATCAAATGCATCCCCGCAAGGAAACAGCATACAGTTGCCATGGAACACAGGCCTGAGAAAACAAAATACGTCAAATTATAATGATCTCTTTTTCTGGGTGCTGTGCTGTTATTACTGTCTTACCGGCCAGCAGATGCAGCAGCCCTACAAATAGTGTGGGAGTGATACTGCGGCAAAGGCAGGCGCACACTCCGATCAACGCCGCGAGAAACACCAGCCCCACGGAGACCAGCGGCAACAGGAACTGACACTTCCACAGGTCTGTGGACACAAACATTCAAAACATAATGACAAAGCAAATGACAAAACATCCTGTTGCTCGCTGCGGCTGGTTAAGTCAAATACTATATTATATACTATATTATATTATACCAGCCGCAGTGAGCAACAATCATTCATATATGTGACCCTGGACCACAAAACCAGTCATAAGGGTCAATTTTTTTTGGATTAACCATTGATGTATGGTTTGTTAGGATAGGACAATATTTGGCCGAGATACAACTATTAGAACATTTGGAATCTGAGGGTGCAAAAAAAAAAAAAAAATCGAAATATTGAGGAAAACTGCCTTTAAATTTGTCCAAATTAAGTTCTTAGCAATGCATATTACTAATCAAAAATTAAGTTTTGATGTATTTACGGAAGGAAATTTACAAAATATCCTCATGGAACATGATCTTTACTTAATATCCTAATGATTTTTGGCATAAAAGAAAAATTGATCATTTTGACCCATACAATGTATTTTTGGCTATTACTACAAATATACCCCAGCGACTTAAGACTGCTTTTGTGCTCCAGGGTTACATATAATATATTAATGATTCTAACTTAAAAAAGGAAACATCTCGATAGGACTGTGTCTAGACAATAAACAATTATAAGTGAATGGAATGAGCATTAAAAACAATATTGAGAACTCTTTTCATTGTAGCTATTAAATAGAAAATCATTTTATGACACAGCAGGTTTTTATTATGTGTGCTAATCAAAGAGCTGGACAATATATATTTAACGTTTTCAATGTCTTCAACATGATTTTAATGGCAACATAAAATTAGGCAGCATCATTTTAACATGTTTTTCAAAAAGACTTTCTGTAGATGGCCGATAATTAACTCTTTAGTAGACGAGTGTGGTGACTGATGTGAGGAGAACGCTCATATCATTTGTATGGTTTTTGGTGACCGAGGTTGCTTTTCATCCTCCTATAATATCCAGCGCAGAACGCCAGAGCTCATCCTCATGGACCTGATCCTTCTTGAGATCAAATGAAGCGAGTCATCTGCAACAGAGAAGAGTGTGATTAATTCTTAAAGTAGTCAAACAAAGTCATGTTTACATAAGTAACAAGTTAATACACTTTTAAGGAGGAATAAGTCACAAGGTTTGCCTTGACTGTAAAAGAATCTGTACTTACTATTGCACAAGCTATTTCAGATAAAAGCCACTAAACTGCACATAACAAATGGTATAACAAAACACTAAACAAAAGATTTCCTATAATCAAAAAATTAAATAACATGGTGAAATAAACGTTGCTCGCAGAAAGACAGCAAAACCACCATAAGCTGACTTGCTTAGCCCGGGGCGAAATCATGAAGTCATGATTTCAGTACTGAAGTTTCAGGGTTGCCAGGATATTTAAAAAAGAAACACCCAATTGCTACTGCAAACTACCGCTGGAAAACCGCGGACTTGGCAACACTGCGAAGTTGCGCATGCGCTGTGAGGGGGGAACAGGGAAACTGAATTCGCCGGAACACCGGTTAGGATTACGAACGCTCGAGCTGCACATCACAAACTCAATCCACACAGACACAGACAAGGGCACTATCTAGATGCGCGTTTGATACTAGGTTTTAGGTTTTTACACGTCCTGACCAAAACGGAAGGACACAAAAAGATAAGGAACTAAAACGTTTTAATTCTTCACGCTGTCCTTGCCTTTTAAAAGTGGCTTATATATCATATGCTCCATTTAGTTGGGTCTCAGTCTACTTTCCATTCAACAACATTTTAGTTTTTTTTGGGAACCCAGACAATTAGATTCGTATTATTATTTCATATTTTCACATCAGCATTATTATTATAAAATATTAGAAACAAAGCAGTATAATGTTTGAAAGAATCGGTGGGTGTATGACAATCATTGTCTTTCTGCCATCATTAGCTTCGCATGAACAATTTTTTTTTATTATTATTATATGCATCAGAAAAGGTGTACATGCTTTTGGCATTTCACACCATAAGTGAATCGCTGCTCATTTGGAGATTTCACATATAAAACACAATTCTTGTAAACCACCCTGCTTGCCTTTAGACCCCTGAAATAAAACTAATGTGAAATCAAATCACCATATATCTCTGATAAAGACCATTTGTATAAAATAATGCAGTTTATTTCACACACAACCATGGATTTTTGAACTGCTTTAACAGTACAATTAATAGACATACAGTGTACAGATACAAAAACATTCAAAATTAGCTATTTCATAGTGATGTATCACAAAGCATGTGGTGTATAAGTGAATCGCTGCTCATTTGGAGATTTCACATATAAAACACAATTCTTGTAAACCACCCTGCTTGCCTTTAGACCCCTGAAATAAAACTAATGTGAAATCAAATCACCATATATCTCTGATAAAGACCATTTGTATAAAATAATGCAGTTTATTTCACACACAACCATGGATTTTTGAACTGCTTTAACAGTACAATTAATAGACATTAATCATAATGTATCACAAAGCATGTGGTGTAAAAAAGTCACTAAATTGCAAAAAAATAAATAAAAAAATACGGCACTTGACTAAACACCATACCATGTTTGTCAAAATAAAAACTACTAGAGTTCTAGTATTATTCAAAAGAATTAAAAGTGCAAATAATAGAAGGACTTAAAATCAGCAGTAGAAAATCAATATTAACATCATCTTAAAGGCATCTAATGCATTAAAATTACGATCACAGCTCATTTTCTGAGCAGCACTGATACCTGAGAATTACTGTACATGTGCGAGATATTACTGTAGATTCACAGTGATCACATATTCCATACAGTACTCATGCGTGTCATATCCTTTACAGCTTCCTATTTCATCCTTTAGATTCCTTCAGATCAGTGTGATTCGAATGTTTTATTCTAAGATCGTTCTGCTCCAGAAGGTCTTGTCTGTTGAGCTACTCTTGAAGTGGCCGGTTGACTTCACAGTGCCGTTTATGACAGGAGTGTCAGTGAACTCCACCGTGCAGGAACCCGAGGAGCAAGGTGACGCCTCCAACTCCAGAACAGTTATGTTGTTTTGGACGGAGGTGCTGAGCAGGTGGGCTGGGACAAAGAGGGTCACCTGTGGCCCACGGGACGGCCAGTAGCGGCCCACGTTAAAACCATTAATCCACACTTGACCCTGAAATAAAAAGTACGTTATGATCTCTTTATAATTATTCCAGTGCTAATCTATTGGGGATTCTGATCTCTTCACATCGATCAATGGATTTCAGTGAAGCCAAGAGCAGCAGTTAAGACTCCTACCTTCCTCCAGTTGGGAAACTGGATGTATGTGTCCTGAGGGAGGTCAGGAATGCCGTTGGGGATGATGAAGCTGCCAGCGTAGAAGGTTGGAGGTGAAAGAGCAGGAGGAGAGGAGGTGGTGAAGCTGGTGGAGGTGGAGATGAATCCGCTTGATGCCGACAACAGCCCCTCGCGCACTGCTTCATCTATACTCAGAGAGTACACCGTCCAGTTACCCAGAACATCAGCACCCAGAGTCAGATTAAACACCAGACCCTGAGGAACAGAGAGAGGAAAAGAAAAAAAACAGAGATATGGAAAAGGGAAGAAAGGGTATGGAAAATGATAAAGATGGAAAAAATAATAATAATAATAATAAAATGAATAAAAATAATAGTTATTATTCTTACAGAAGTTTTAAGAATTTTATGTGCTTTTATCATTTTTATGAATTTGTTTTTTAATATTACTAATATTTAATACTACTACTACTTTACATACATACATACATACATACATATATATATATATATATTACTATTTAGGTTTAATTTATTTTAATTTCAGTTTAAGTGTTAATTTGATTTATTTCCAGTTTAATTTTAGTGCTTCAATTTAAACTTATTTCAGTTTCTAATTTTCATTTATTCTATGTTTTTCTACTTTATTCTTACATTTTATTTTATTTTAGCCTTATTTCAATTAACAAAAATGTTTTAGAAGTTTGTAGTTAGTAGTTTGTTTTAGTTAACGATAATAACCCTCCTTAGGGTTAGGGTTAGGGTTAGGGTTAATTCATGGCTTGAAAGCTGAGGAATTACAGTCAAATTTTTTCAGTGGGATTTATGACGCTTTCGAATGTTAGAATGGGCTGGGCGACTGAGAATTAGGGGCCGTTTACATGACAACGTTTTCAGCCAAAAACGAGAACCTTTTTATGCGTTTTGACTGTTCGTTTACACGACAACGACGTTATGGGGACTGAAAACGCATATTTTTGAAAACGGGTTTCAAAGTGCAAGTTTTTGAAAACGGCACCGTTATCGTTTCCGTGTAAACACCCAATACAGGAATCTTTGAAAACGGTGACGCCATGTGCGTGTGTAGTACGTGTTAGGTATGTAGACATGCGCAGTACGTGTCGATTTTAAAGGCAAGCGTGAACAAACATACACAACACTGGCGGAGTACATGGTACTGTTGTTGCTGCTCAAGAGTTTGCTAACGCTTCTTCAGCAAAGTGTGGATTTACTTCACCAATATTACAACAAACAGCGGAGAGGCATCATATACATCATATAATCGTCACTTCCCTACATGTGCTGTTTACTAACAAGGTGACAGCGCCAACTACTGGCCTGGCATACGTAATACAGCGCTTTTGGCCGTTTTCGCGGATATGTGTAAACGCGAATCGTTTTGAAAACGTTGTCGTGTATACGTGAAACTTTAAAAAAAAACGCAAGGGAAAAACTTTTCAGTTTTTGACTACATCGTTGTTGTGTAAACGTAGCCTTAGAAAAACAGGAAGTGAATAGGAAAGTTTTGGTTGCCTTGAAGTCATTAATTTCTTTGCCGTAGTTGATTCTGCCCATGTTCTCCACTAGGACGTCCACACGGCTGCCAGCTTTCCCGGTTATATTGATGGTGAGTGCCTTGTTTCTCTCCAAAATACCAGCAGCAATCTGAACAGTAAAAAGATTTATTAAGCACAGGATGAAATTAAACAATTGCACCTGTTCAAAAGTTTGGGGTCAGTAAGATTTTGAAATGCTTTTGAAAGAACTGTTTTCCATTTGAATATATTTTAAAATTTAATTTATTAATGCAAAGCTGAATTTCAACATCATTATTCAAGTCTTCAGTGTCACATGATCCTTCAGAAATCATTCTAACATGCTGATTTGATACTCAAGAAACATTTATTATTATTATTATTATCAGTGTTGAACACTTCATCTTACTGCCCCAAACTTTTTAACGGTAGTATATAAGAATGTTGTGTTATGCAAAAGCTTCCAATTAGATATACATTTGTGCACAAACTTTATCTTATGTTCAAATCTTACAGAGCTGTTTCACCATCGCATCTATTATGATTGAGTAACTCATAGTTCAATAAGACAGTCAACAGAGTAAAACAGTGCTGCTTACACCATCAATGGATATATATGCCCGATCATGGACTCCATTTAGCGGGGACGACAGCGGGGTGGGCTTCAAACAGTTGACAGGTAACACAGTCTGATACAGCATAAAGCCAAAGGCCTGACGAGATAATGAGACATCCATATTCAATGCACAAATAAGACAAAGCAATGAGCACAGAGGGACCATGTAAATAACTAACATTACTGAACATAACTTCACATTTACTGACGAGATGCGACATACCTGATTCATTTCAGTAAATGTTGGTGGGTAAAGAGTTTTTACAGGGCCAGAGAAAGATAATATATCTAAAGACTCTAACACTGTCTTGAGCTGCAAGGACAAAAAGATCAATCACAATTCAGTTAGTAAGAAAAACTGAGGTGTTATACAGAAAACATAATAATGTAAATATCAAAAATCATAAATACATTATAAATCATGTTACAACAGTAGACAGGCAAAGATGCAAAAAAACATTTACCTTCTTCATTTGCACTTGTCCATAAGCAAATTTAGGTGTTGATGGAGGCAGCAGTCCTCCTGGTAACTCTTTGTACTGTATTTAAAAAAAGAACAATCAGATCAATTTACATCATTAGTGGCCGTTGCATTTCTCTATCAAAAATCACAATTGTTTTGAGAAATGTGACCCTGGAGCACAAAACCAGTCTTAAGTCGCTGGGGTATATTTGTAGCAATAGCCAACAATACATTGTATGGGTCAAAATTATAGATTTTTATTTTATGCCAAAAATCATTAGGATATTAAGTAAAGATCATGTTCCATGAAGATATTTTGTAAATTTCCTACTGTAAATATATCAAAATTTAATTTCTGAGTAGTAATATGCATTGCTAAGAACTTCATTTGGACAACTTTAAAGATGATTTTCTCAATATTTAGATTTATTTGCACCCTCAGATTCCAGATTTTCAAATAGTTGTATGTCTGCCAAATATTGTCCCGTCCTAACAAACCATACATCAATGGAAAGCTTATTTATTCAGCTTTCAGATGTTGTATAAATCTCAATTTCGAAAAAAAATTTACCCTTAGGACTGGTTTTGTGGTCCAGGGTCACAAATAGCTAATTTTCCCATTGACCTAATTTTACCATTTTGATGACTTCTCTTATGGCGAAATACTTTTCTGTGAGGTCTCCAGCTTCCGTGAGTGGGGCGTCATAGTCATAGCTGGTTGGTTGAGGACCATAAGGAGAGTTGGCGCCTATAATGTGATTAAAAACATGAATCGAGAAACTTGAAACTTATTTTTGGCTTGTTGAGGTACAAATCTCCAAAACCTACCATTCCAATAGCCAAAGTTAGTTCCACCGATGAACATATATCTTCATAACAATAACAAAAAATAAAAAACAATTATAAAAATCAATCAATTTCTTTCAAAAGTCAAATATCTCAGTTCAGTTGTTATTATAGGCGACCAACTCACAAGTTGACATTGGCTCCCATTTCCAGAATTTCATTGAGACTCTTGACCACAGCAGCTGTGGGTATGACAACATGTTTCTCGCCCCAGTGATCCAACCAGCCAGTGTAGAACTCAGAGTTCACCTGCAAAAAACAAAACGCCTTTTTTTTTCATTTTCCAGAGCACATTTCTATCTGTTAGTAATGTTTATGCATGAGAGGCATCACATTTGATCACTTTGGGTAAAAGCATTTGCTTAATGAATACATGCAAATGTAGTTTAAAGCAGCTTTGCCCTCCAGTGTCTATATAGTCAACCAATGATAGGAAGGTTTTTGGCTCTTACCAAAGGCCCACGTGGCTCTGCGTGTCTCTGTGCTTCAAAAGCAGCAGTCACATTTGAACCTGCACAAAAATACAACAATGCATTTTTTTATTAAATTCCATAATTTCAGAGTTAAAAGCCTGTAATGTCAGAAGATAAGTAATTAGCATTTTTTGAAACACTTTAAGGAACGTGAAGGTAATTTATAAGTGATATGGGTGATATATAGGATATGCAGACCTGGGCCGAAGTCAACGGTGGCATAGATGCCCTGGAGGGACCCACACTTGAGATAACCCACACCTGCTCCATCTGTGGTGAACAGGACCACCTCTTCTCCCAGATGAGAGCGGAACAGCTGGCTGAGATGCCGCATGTAATTATAATCACAGGCAAAGTAACTCCCATATTCATTCTCTACCTGCGTATGGGGAAAAAAAATATTTGTTTGTCCAGAAAAAGGATGAAAAAATATAAACAAATATGTGTTATTTATTTACATATTGTTTCTTTATATATTTTTACTCTTCTTTATATATATATACACACACACCCTTGGAAATCCTAAGCTGACAACTTGAATATTATATAATACGGTGGAAAAGAAATGGACGGTTGTGAATATACTAGTTCAACAGGAAATATTACTGTTCAGTACCATGGGTTTAACACTAAATACGGTGTGAAACGATATATATTCAAATGTGTAAATAAATATGTGACACACACACATATATAAATAGATGTTACTTTCATCAGTGTGATTTTTATATAACTGTCTTACTTGCACCGTAATGATGGGTCCTCCGTTCTGGTACAGGTGACGGTTTATGATGGGCAACAACTGCCCCATCCACTTATCCACTGCTGCAAGGTAATCTAGAACAATATCAAGAGCTCCAAATTAATTACTGTAGCTTATAAGCCATAAATTCACTCATTCAACTGCATATTTTCCAATCTGAGGTTAATCAATAACTGTATTACCTGGATCAGATGATCGCAGCACAATATCTTTCTTTTTCAACAGCCAGGAAGGCAAACCCCCCTAAAACAAGAAATATTGAGCCAATTGTGGTTAGAAAATATTAACAATACAATTGTTTCCTTAACAATAAATGTTTCTTTTCACTATGCACAACTGCTCATTTGTTGAAATATTGGAATACTGTACACTGTTTACACTTTTAAAAACACTTCAGTTCAAACATTACATCAGTCTTTACAACTAATGTAATGTAACTAAAGTCTTCTAATGATTCTAAAAGAATCTTTTCAGGTTTTCAAGCATTTCTGTTGAATAATGCTTTAAATATTACTGTAATTAAATCAGAATGATTGACTTTAGGGCTGCACGATAAATCGAAATGGAATCGAAATCGTGATTCGACAGAAGCTGCGATTGTCATGCGTATCTTTCAGTGAAGCACGGTTCTGTGATCAGCAGTAAATTTCCATCCAAAGGCCAGAGGGCGCTCTCGCGCTGAAACTCCAAATACGCCTCGCAGAAGAAACCCAGAAAATGCCTATCGCTGCAGCTGAATAAACAGAAGATTCAACTGCTTTCATTGATTCAACGTGACTAATAATCACACGATTATGACAATTATGGTTTATGCGAGTTATTATTATAATTTTCATTTAAATAAAATATATTTATAATGCAATGCCTTTATCACTGCTTAGAATACTATGAAATATGTTGCGTGCCTTATTCTGTGTAAGAAGCCACATCATCTCACAGAAGGATTTATTTCAAACACTCGACTGACGTTATGAAGTGAGTTTGGAGTAAAAATATGTTATTAAATGTGGTATTTTCACATGCTTTCAGATGGAGCAGCATTTACTACACAGAGCCGTAGTTCACTGAGAAGCTATGCAAACAGCTGTCATTATCGCCAACGATTTCTTCGATTTCAGAATCGCGCAATAAAATCGTCTGCGTTTTTTTTTGCATAACTTGTCAGTGAACTACGGCTATGTGTAGTAAATGCTGCTCCATCTGAAAGCACGTGATGATGATTTCCTGCTGATTACAGAACCGGCTTTACTAACAAAATGTAAATGACAAATCACATTCGATTAATAGTGCAGCCCTAATTGACTTTATAGGACACGCATGTAAAAAAAAAATGCATGTGTCTCTGCCTACAAGTCTCTCAGTCTTTTCTCACCATATCCCACTCTGCACAGATGTAGGGGCCTGGTCTCATGATGACCAGCAGGCCGATGTCTTGGCACAGCTGTAGGAAGTGCTCTAGATCCCGGTCTCCGCTGAAGTCGTACTGACCAGGCACCGGCTCGTGGAAGTTCCATGGCACATATCTGAGGGTGAATTTGGCCATTTGGAGAATCAAAGTTGGACTGAACTCACAAGTTTATCCATTTGATAAAAAGTTTGAAGAAAAATAATATTCAGGGCTCTAGCCAAAGAATATCCATTGATTACTACACATTACAAAATAATTTCATAATTAATTGCACCTGCAGTATGCAATTTAACATTTTATAGCTCAGAAATAAATATATTGCAACAAAAACTTCCATCAATTTGATTTTATTAATATCCATGACTTTTCCAGGCTTGGAAATCACAGATTTTCAATGACTGTGCGAACCCTAAATATTGCATATGACTGACACTGAATCATAGTCAGTTCCTCTTACGTCTGGATGGCGTTCAAACCAGCCATGTACATCTTGAGTAGCCTGTCCTTCCAGTAGACTCTGGGAATCCTGCTGTAGTGGATGCTGCCAGAGATGTAGCGAAACGCCTCTCCATCTTTAAGGAAGCAGTTTTGACGGTAATCGATGGAGAAACTTGGTGTTGTGGCATACTAAAAAGGAAGAAGATACAGTGTGCTTCAAAAACACGAAAATTCGAGAGCAAAAGGAACAGATCACCCAACTAAAAAATTACCAATCAATATCAAGTACAGTATTCCAGAGAGTGTAATTATGTCCTTTACTCAGCCTTATTTTCCAAGCTGGTATTCTTTCTTCCATTGAACACAAACAAAGATATTCTGCAGAATATATATATATATATATATACAGGTGCATCTCAATAAATTAGAATGTCGTGGAAAAGTTCATTTATTTCAGTAATTCAACTTAAATTGTGAAACTCGTGTATAAATTAAATTCAATGCACATAGACTGAAGAAGGCCAACAATTCACTAAAAATGTTTTATGAAGTCTTATGAAGTATTCTAATTTGTTGAGATAGTGAATTGGTGGGTTTTTGTTAAATGTGAGCCAAAATCATCACAATTAAAAGAACCAAAGACTTAAACTACTTCAGTCTGTGTGCATTGAATTGATTTAATACACGAGTTTCACAATTTGAGTTGAATTACTGAAATAAATGAACTTTTCCACGACATTCTAATTTATTGAGATGCACCTGTGTGTATGTATGTATGTATGTACATATATAAATATATATATACAGTATATAAAGTGAATTTGAGGGGCATTTGAGCTCTAAATGACAAAAACATAATCTCACCGGGTCATGCCAGGTTTGAAGACTATGGTTCTCTATATGTCTCTATATGTCTTGTGGCTATCATAACTGACAAAAATAGCACAAACTATTTGACTAAGTCATGACAAAATATTTTTTTGGAGCACAACAGTCTCAGTCCCCAGATCAGCTTTTTAGACATCCTGCAAAATATTTATGTTTATATTGAAAGAAAAAAGTAAATGATGAGACTAGTTATTTTTCAGCGTACTATCCCTTTAAATGTCACATCAGCGGAGTGTGAATTCTGACACATTTAGGTAAAAATGTCAATAGACTTTCATGCATTGAACGCATCGAGTAAATAACAGCTCTACATAATTGTCATTATCCTGTAAAGGGTTTATGTTTGATGACTGACTTTCCTCACATGACATGTCACAAGACGCAAGAGTCATGACAGTCTCTTGTCAGCTTCAAAGATCCGCGTTTTTTACATAACACCGAAAGTGTGACCGAATCTTCATCTATAAGCAATTTCTGAATTACACAACACTGAAAAGTATGATACTTTTCGCAAATGGTATATGGTAATGGTATATAATCACTATTTCATAATGGAGAATACATCTGCACACTAGCCAGTGCATCAATTAGTAACCGGAGCTTTACGTTCGGTTTAAAGGACACTATTTAAACAAACAGACAAAGTTAATACTTGCCGTGACCGGTGGTAGGATCAGGAGGAGAACCGACATCAGTCCGACACCGAGCACCATGGTGTCGGAATCAGCAAACAGCGGTGCGGAAGTCAAATGCCACTGTTCATTTGACTCGCCAATGAATCGTTTTTGGGAATCGGATCTTTTAATGAACTAGTTGAACCGGTTCACAAAGCCGCTCTGAACGAGTCAACACCTCCTGTCTGTCAGCAACTCAACTCTTGAGAACCGTAATAATTATTTAAAGTGCATGTGCCTACAACTTTACTGGACCACGGTGACCAAAAATAAATGGCTGATTTGGAATTTTGAACCGATTCGAGAAGTAATCAATCAAATAAAATGAACAAAAAAAAACAACAACATAAAAACATAAACAAAAATTTTACTTATGAGAATTTTTTTTTAGTCATAAATTAATTTTTTGTATTGCGACAAACTAAACTGGACACATTAGATTACAGCAATGTGTGCCACTGCCAACAACTTTACTGCAAGAATCAAATATCCGGATCTTTGAACCGATTCGTGAACCGACTCGCAGAAATTAGTCGGACTGCTACGCGTCTCCCAACCACTAGGGAGCGATATCGATCGCTTCTGGAGGATTTTTCTTCGGCTCTCGGCGAAACACAGGAGGAATACACGTGTGTTTCCGCACATGTGAAGATTTTATTAGTGTTTCAATAGTTTTGTATTGTATTGATCGACACAACGCTGATGATGTCTGCGTCCATAAACAAGGAAACAGACGGCGGAGATGGTGTTGCGAAGGCAGAAGCTCTCGATAACGAAGAGGATTCTCCCATTGTGAGCCGCACACGGAGTGGTCGCAGACTGCGGACGCCCGCGGCCAAAGCTCCCGTCCGCCGGACCAGAAAGTCTGTTGTCCGAGAAGATCCGGCAGAGAGCACCGAGTCTCGGCAGGAAGCGCCAACCGATGAATGTACAGCAGATACTAAAGGCGATCAGTGCAGCTCGGTGACCGAACCAGTGTGTCCTGATGTGTCTACATCAACACCAGCACCAGCAGATGTCAGTCAAGAGCCAGTGCCGGACACTGCAGATTTGATGGGGTCAGATCAGGCCAGTGAGAAGGAAAATGTGGTAAATAACACAGAGACAGAATCCACTGGTCCCACTGACCCCGAGAAAAGGGCCAAAAAAAGGACAAAAAGTAAGATGGTACCTCTTGGGAAACCTAAGTCTGGAAGAGTATGGAAAGACAGAAATAAGCAAAGGTGATTACCACTATAAAGTTTCTTATTACTGGCCTGATAACACTTGGCCTGTTTAATTGAGGAGTTTTTTGCATCTATGTTTGCTTTCACATTCTTGCATGTCTATTAATCCATAATAATGCTTAAGTATGTGAGATGTTTTTTTTGTTGTGTGGCTCATTTTTGTCTCTATCTGTCTGTTTACTAGTACATTAGTGTTTCTTCTGTCCGTTATCTATCTGACGTGTTCAGCACTAACTTTGTTTTGTAGGTTCTCCGCTCTGTTGAGAGACAAACCTCTGCGTACTTCATGGGAAAAGAAGATGGAGGCCAAGAGAGAGAAGCAGCTGGTGAAGAAGTACCACCAACAGCTGAAAGATGAGCAGACCAGAGTGAAAGAGGCGAGTTTATGCCTCAAAACTGCATGTTTTTGTCTTTTTATTGCATGCTTTTTCCAGGGCCCATATTTACAAAATAGAGACTTCTGGGAATGCATACTCTGGTCTCAAGAGACCAAGTCAATCATTTCTGATCTTAACAGCATCCAAAATGTTCTGGTGTTGCAAAAGGAGGAGTACAGAGAGAAATGCCTGGTTCACACAGTGGCGTTCAGTGGTAGTAAAGCTCTTCTATAGGGATGTATGAGTGCTGAAGGTGTGAGGGAGTTGTGCTTTATCAATGCTGGCATGAATTCACACACCACTGTGTGATGTAATACAAAAACCTGAAACTGAAGATGCTACCCTCTTCTCATTCCCTGCATTATTGGGCATTTTTTCAGCATGACAATGAAGATATTCATTCTCCCAAGGTGAAAATCCTTCAGTGGACATGTATTTCACTCAATCTTAACACTCTTGAGCTGCTGTGAGAGATTCTGAGACGAGCTGAGCAACACTCCCCATTAAAGACCAGAGCATTTAAGGAGGTCCTCCAGGAGTTAAACAGCACAGATGTGAACATTTCTCATGAACTTGTACACTCAGTGCCAAGAAGAGTCAGAGCAGTGTACTTTAAGTTCTGGAGGACATGCTAAGTACTAGAATATTATACATTTTCTGAATTAAATCTCGGGTGTACTCATTTCTGCAATCCTTCATTTAAACAAAATTGGCTGATTTACTTATCTTACAGAAAATATTGGCATATATTTTGTTGTTTTTATTAAGTATATGTTTCAATTTTGCCATCTTTCCATGAATTATATTGATTGTATTAGTGATCATTAAGAAAATACATATTTTATATTTATTCAGAGGGGGTGTACTCATTTATGCTGTGCACTGTGTGTGTGTGTGTGTGTATATATATATTAGGCCTGGTTTCACAGACTGGTCTTGGGTGAAGCAAGTATTAGGCCATAGTTCAATTAGGACATTTAAGTATCTTTTATAAATGTGCCTTAGAAAAACATTACTGGTGTGCATCTTGAGACAAATCAATAGTGCTAACATATTTTATGATATGTCAGTGCAAGTTTCTAACAGTTAAAGTGCCCTTATTATGGGTAAGGAAAGGTTCATATTTTGGTTTTGGGAGTCCCCAACAACAGGTTGACATGCATGTAAGGTCAAAAAACACTTTCATTGTCTTATAATATGCATTTATTTTTACATTATTTGCTCAACGACTCCCAAACGATTCGTTTAACGATTCATTTTCCCAAACCCCTCCTTTGCGTGACGCTAATCTGCGGTGATTGGTCTCATTTTCATTGCATCATGCCTGTAATGCCTGAAAAAGCAGCGTTTGTGAGCGCAGTGCTGCTTTGTGTACAACATTACCGGGGAAACCGCTATATTTATCGCTCCAAAAGCTGCCCCTAGTGGCAAAGAATTAATTGCATTTTCATTCAGACCAACGGGAAAAGACCAACAAGTGGGCGGGCAATATGCTAATGTTTCATGATGAGGTCAACATGAAACGGCTTGGTATTCGTTTTAAAAACGACTCGTTTCAATGATTCAGAGTCCACTCTTTCTTTTGAGACAATAACTTCATACACGGTGCACTTTCAGATTTAAAACTTTGGGGGATGTTTTCATTCACTTAGAGTTGTGTTACACACTGCATGAAAGGTCAAAAATCCATAATAGGGGCACTTTAAAACAGAACAGACATGCTTTTTAGTCTGGGACTAGGCTTAAGCCATGTCTGTGAAACCAGAGAATAGTTATATAGCTTAGAATATTGTCTAAGTTGTTTTGTTTTGGAGAAAAAGTAATAGTAATAAACTACTTGTAGTAACATTACATTTCAAAGGTTTGGAGTTGGTACCAAGTCTCCTATGCTCACCAAGGCTGTCTTTATGTAATGCTTCCTTGCTACATAAAAGTGTTAATTTCTGAGAAACTTTGTGACAGTGTCATTGTGATCTGTGGAGAATGTCATAAAAGCTGAAATTAGAGTGAACATTGTTCAGATGTGCTTTTTCCGCTAATCTTATGTTTGCAGGAGAAAAAGAGGAGGAGAGCAGAAAACCTGAGAAGACGAGCAGAAAATGAGAGGAAAGCGGAGATTGTGCAAGTGGTAAATGCAGAATGTCATTTTGCACCAAAAATTCAGTTGTTGCTAACACTTTTGATCTGTCGAATTCTTATTTAAATAACTCATTACTGCTTTGCCTCTTGCAGATTAAGAATACAGCAAAGATCAAGAGAATGAAGAAGAAACAGCTGAGGAAGATTGAGAAAAGAGACACGCTCTCAGCGGTGCAGAAAACACCAGCCAGTGTCAAGAAGGGTGCAGGGAAAACAAACAGCAGCTTGTAGAGATGTGAGAGAATCTCGTCAGACATTAACACACTGTTGTTGATATAAATGTGTAGTGCCTGTTGAATGAACTGGCATGTGAACCTCAAAGGAAAATACTAGGGACGTGTAATCATTTTGGATCTGTGACTCTAAGTTGACTGCTTGGGTTGTGAATCTGCTTTAGGTCTCTGGATTTGATGTAATATTTGTACAGCAAATTAAAAAGCAAATATGTTTTGAATTCATGGATAAAACCTGTCACCTATTACATTTTTTGTATGTGATTGTCACATTAAATAAATATGTTTATAGATAAATCAGTCAATTTCTTCCTGGTTCATGCATGTTAAATTGTTTTCTTTTTGTTATTGTATGATATAAAGAGGTTTCATTTTCAATATTGCTTTGGGACTTTCCGCTCATGGTTTGATGTTTTACATCTAGTTGTGATGCTTGCACTTTCAGTGTCTTGGGTACTTTTCACATGGTGAGGTAGAGTGATTGGTACTTTTCAGTCCCAAACAATACTATATATACTATAACTACAGTCCTAAAAGGCAAAAATATAATGTTCAGATTCAGAAGTGGGGATTTAAAGTTGTACTCTTAAAATAAAATGAAATAAATAATAAACAAGCAAGAGGGAAATAAAAACATGACTTGTCAGGGTTTTTTTTTTTTTGTAACCATTTCCGTCAGATGTCCCTCCATTGAAAGCTTTTCATAGTTCGTAATTTATCTCCTGTGGCCTGAGGTGAACCAGGCAAAAGGAATCAACCAAGTTGTATGAGGTGAATGTAGGGGGTGGAGTCTGTCGCCCAAAAAAATAAAAAGGTACTTTCCATGTTTTTGCCTATAAAAGCAAAGAGAGCACAACAAACACCAAGAAACACCGAAGACCAGAAAGATATCCTGTGTTAAACAGCATGGCTACAATTGTTTGTGCAGCATTGGTAAGATTATTTTACATCCATTTTAAAGGAGACAATCATTTAACAATATATTTTACATAAGACTTTTAAGATGAAAATGTTGTAATTGTCACACGTGTCCAGGCTTATGTGTTTGTTTTATTGTGATAAAGTGCTCCATTCACAAATGTCTTGGTTCTCTTTCAGGCTCGATACCATCAGCTTGGAGCTGAACCCAGGAAATGTGTCAAAGGAGACCCCAAAGACACTGTGCCTGTTCCCTTCCACGAGCCGCTGGAAAACGCCACCCATGCTGTTCTCCAGGTTCAAGGGCCAGTTTCACCAGGTCCTAAACGCTTTCCTGTGAATGTCTTCAATGTCTCTAATGGCATGACGATTCCTGTGACTGTGAGGAGCACCGATACCATCGGGAAAATGCAGCAGAAGGTCTTGAAGCTCAGACCACTCCTTGGAGCAAACCTGAATCTGGTCTACAATGGCAAACCGGTTCAGCTGTGCCAGACACTGTCCGAGCTTCAGGTGAAGCCAGGAGCCACGTTCATCACCTACCAGAAATGCCAAGGAGGTTAACAGGGACGTAGATGTATTTTGTCATTACGCTCAATGATAAATCATACTGTATCATAATGTGTTTTAAATACAAACTTTTGCTAAATCATTTATTACCGTTAGCTGAGTCATGTATCAGGATACACATAACTCGAATTAATCATCAGTAATGCAACAAGCCATTGATGCAAATGAAAGCAAATTAAACAACAAACATTATTTTCTCTGCAAGAAAACATGAATAGAAATATTATTTTGTTTAGATAAGTGTTTTTTTTTTTAACCTGATGGAACAAAGATGTATTTTTAGGTTTGTTTGTGTGCTTCGGTGGGAAAAAAGGGATCAATAGGGATTAATCACAACAAAACCTCTTCGTTTTCAGTTTTAATCGGAACACTTCGAGACATCATCTTTAACGTCTGCAAACAACATAAAACGGAAGTAGTAGAAATAACAGAACCTAGAAGAGGAAACTGTCTAGCATATCTTGTTTTGTAAAACAGGCAACATTTTGTCATATGCAACCTCGTAACATGCACGAACAGATGTTTTTAAAGAAATTTCCTAAATGAATATGTTAATGGTAGCATTAAACTTTTAGCTTATAATGTTTTTAAAAAGACTGTAACTGTGATTTGCACTACATGTATATTTGACTCCTGTTTCAATGAAAATAAATACAATAATCTGAAACCTCTAGTATTAAATGCTATTTTGTATTCTTTTCTAATTCAGTACCATTTAAATGTTATTTAAATTGATAGTTATGATATCCAATGAATTTCTTTATTGAATTTGTCTGCTGTAATGGCAGCAGCACTGGAGCTACATGAACAAAACCTGATAATGATGTTCTCCAGCATGATCTGGGATATGAAGATCATGAGCTTCAATAGAAGCAAGAATATCTGACCGTCTGTACAAAGAGTCACATGATCAGGCTCACAAAGAAATAGAGCCGAATGTAAAATATTTCTTCATTTTACACCATTTCTTTGTTTGCATTTACATAGCCAATATAGTGGTTGTTTTAACACTCAATTCGTTTTTAAAAATTGCTTCGACACTAAAGGTGGTACTTCAGGCCCACTCAGTGAAACCATTCACTCATATATCTAATCTTTAGTCCAAGTCTGCAAAACTATAAGCACACTACGTGGTTTAAACTTAGTCTGCTATTATAAAACAAACTTTTGCAAAACATAGTACTCTACATTACACACATCATTCAAAACTAACAGCTCTTTTTTTTTCATTTGTGAAACACTGCCATTTAAATGCCACTCATGTACTGATGACCTACACCCAGTGATCATGTGTGAAAACACTTATACAACATTTGTTCACTTAGAAATCGAAACTCAGTGTTTTGAGAAATAAATTGTTTACCCCCTTGCATTTCTGTTTACATTGTATATATATGTATATATGATTATATACTGCGTGTATATATGTACAGCCCACACACACTGAATATGCATAAAAGCCAAGTCATAAAGTCAACTTTATTTCTAAAGCGCATTATACAAAACAGATGACAGCTCTAACAAGTCAATACTGTCATTTTAAAGCTCAAGTCAGTTCAGCATTGATCAGTTCAGTTGCATAACGGTGTAAAATGCATCAGTTGTACATACATACTGTATATACAGTGTATATGTGCATATTCAAGTTCAAGTTCAAGTCTGCTTTATTGTCAATTCTTCCACATGTACAGCACATACATACAGAGAATTGAAATTGCGTAACTCTCAGACCTTTGGTGCATACAGATAACACTAACAGTAGAATATAAAATACAGATAGATACAGATTAAATATTAAATAAAATACAACTATACATGTATAATACAACATATGCATGTATGTGCAAGTGCTATGACAAACTCCTGTGCACTATACTGCACTCTGAACAAGCTAAAGACACATGAGAGTAGTGCTTTACATTTTTCACACCAGTGTGTAGTTTGGCGTGTATGTGGCTAATTATTTTATGTTACAGTTACTACACAAAAATACAATTTTTAGAAGAGTTAAGTTTTGAATGAAGTGTTTGCTTTTGCAAGATACGTGTGATGTTTTGCATGTTGTGTGTGTGTGTGTTTTGTGGTTTGGTGTGCAGAGTTTTGAGAAATGGAGCCATAGTTTAAAAAAACCGTGCAAGCATTTTTAAAAAATAAATAAAAATGTAAATTGGACAGGCCTGTTATGATCTATGTTTTCTCATTATGAGTTTATTAATGGTAGAATTATTTTTGACATAAAATGTCTTATACTGAAAGATGGAAGGTAGACAGAGTCTGTGCAATTACAATTGCCCCTTCTCTTCCCTGACAACAGTTAGCAGGGCCATGGACTCTGCACAAAGGTAAAATAGTAATCTCAAGAAAACTAAGTTCTTCTTTCATATATAGGTTTGATTCTTTGACTTAAAACTTGATGTATCATGTTTCCATCACCACATATAGCACATAAATCAACTACCACTGCTTAAAATGAAAATGAAAGTTGTTTTGGACTGCAGATAAAGTACGGTGATTCCCATATCTGAATGCTCTCACAATGTTGTGGTAGTTTGGTATTCGTATGCAGTTCTTGTAAATCCCATGTTTGATGAAAATCAGCCTGGCAAGGTTGGGCATGTTTACTAGTGCCACAACACACAGAACGTCAGGTACATTCCCAAAATGTCTCTTTGGCTATATAAATTTAAGGATCTTTGTACAGTCACAGAACATAAATCTGGATTGTGAATGCTTGGCAGCTCGAGGCAGCATGGCTACAGAAGTTTATACAGCACTGGTAAGATGATTTCAAATACATTTTAATAAGAACAGTATAGTGCAGGGGTCTTCAAAGTTTTTCCCAGATACAAAACGTGTCAAACAGAGATACATATTAAGCCTAATAGAAACTAACCATTTTATAATTAAGAATACATTAGGCTATATTATGTTACATGCATGTTAAGACAGCAGATCAGAACTATGCACATTATTGTTGTTGCACATGCATCACTGCCTGTGTTAAAATGCATCATTACAAACAAAATGTCGAGATAAAAATCAGGAATTATTAGTTGTTTGCAGTTATTTTGTAAATTATTTTAATGGATTTGCAGAGTCATACATTTTAATTTTACTAGTCAGGTGGACATTTACAGTCACCTGAACTGTTTATTAAAAATGCACATTTTAATTTTACTGTCAGATGGACAAATAAACATTTTGTTGAACTTTAGCTTCAAGTTTACTAAAATGTAACATTTTAATTTTACTGTGAGATGGACAATTAAGAATCAAATCACTAAGTGAGGGTTTTCTAATAAAGTGCAGATAAAATGTGTAAGCAAGCACTCCAGCATGACAAGAACAGTAATGTAGTGAGACATTTATGGGCATTACTTTTACAAAAAAAATTGGAATGAAATAGAAAAATATGTTGATGCGAATATTTTTCTAGTCTATTATCTACAGTTGTCTACACGGCATAATGGATCTCTTACTTACATCGTGTCGTTGTTTGTTAATGAGAGATGATTCGCGAGAGAGAACATAATTCAACACGGAATAAAAACTAAACACGTTTTGAGTGGTGAGCGGATTCTACCTTAAACACCTCTGATTGGTCATTGCGTTCAAGAGATCAACAAATAAGTCTGTGATTGGCTATATTGCTCACCGCTGCAAAAACACGCTGTAAACAGGAACATTTCACCTTCTCCAGAGCTCAAACTCAAAAGCGCGTTTGCTAAATCTGTTTAGCCTATAATATCATTGCAGTGCTCTTGCTTTTGTTTCAGGGTGTTTATATACTGATAAAAAATGTATAGCCTGAATGCACTGTAAGTCGCTTTGGAGAAAAGCGTCTGCTAAATGCATTAATTTAATTTAATTTAATATTCAAAACGGACTGTTTTTTAGTATGTTTTAATTATTTAATGAAAAATTACTTGTAAACAAACATTAATTGGCGGACCCCTGGTTGAAGACCCTTGGTGTAGTGTATGGTCTTATGAAAATGCTGTGATCGTCACTTGTGCTGGTTTTATTGTCATAATGTGACATTCTCTGAATATCCTGAATCTCTTTCAGGCTCCAATCCTTTTTCAGCCTGAAGCATGTGGACCCAAGCAGTGTGTCACAGGAGACTCCAAAC